TCATTAGCAACTGGAAGAACTGCTGAATGTTACTCTCTTATGCAAGCAGAATTTTTCTCCCATTTACTAAGAAGCCCCCAAAAAGTGGGTATAACCCCGACCTCCTATTCCACCTGATGCAATGCAATACCTTATTTCCTTCAAAATGTGAGCATAAATAATGTAGACACTGTCATTCCTTTCTCTTGCTAAGTTTGTGAAGACAAGTATTTCTGTGATTGGATGTGAGCTGACACTGCCCTTCTCCTCAGCAAAACCTTTCTGTGTTTTCATGCAAGCTGTGCTGCAAGGGCAAATTCTACTCTGTGAGAGCCCTGCTTCAGTGGGAGAGGGCCAGGGAGGGCTTGGAAGGATGAGTTTGTTTCTTCAGTCAGAAAGCAGCTATGCCAAGATATTAGCAATAATCTAGCCATCAGTGTATTTGACCTATCAGTTTTTAGTCTGGCAGTAGATCCAAGATAGCACAATGCTGCCTGCATAGGTTGACTGGGAGCTGCTGTTCTGTAAGTCACCAGGAGTTTGTGGAAGGCAGTGTTTGTCAGGCTCCTCACCTTGTGAAATTCCAAGTGGAAGTTTCATTTGTCTGGCCACAGGAATGCAATCTAAATGTCAGTTCTAAAACTCTGTGATGCCCCTACTAACAGCAGGAAAATCCTTTTCTACATGCATCTTTATTAACCCAAGATGTAGTACAGAATTAATCTTTGTCTTTTACTCAACCTTGTTCAATAGAAGTAAATACAACACTGCTGGTAACATAGCTAGTTAAGAGTCTGTACTGGGCTGGGTGTTGAGTGTTTCTTCCTTTTCATTTCTTACTCTATATTGAGTACTAAGGTATTGTTTTTGTTTTTTGTGTTTGGTGGTTTGTTGTTTTTGGTGGTTTTTTTGTCCCCATTATACCATTATTATTATGTTGTGTATGAATGAAGTTGATAGAGGTGCACTTTGCCAACCAGTAGAATGGAAACACTTTTTATTCTTGTCTGGTAGGAGTGTTGTGCTCTGTGATGTCTAATGTATGCAGTGAGGGAAGAGTCAAAAGTGTTGTGCTTAGCAGATGTTTTCTCATTTTTGTGGAGGTTTGGTTTACGGTTTGACAAGCTGATAGGGAAAGTTGTGTTTCCTATGTAGACAGATATTCATCTTATGCTATGAAATTGTATTGAAGCTACAGAGAACATTTATATCTTGTTGGAGTGTTTCCCCCAGGTTATAAGATTAGGTAGGGAGGGCAGGAGGAGAGTGGCCTGTAATGAAAGTGGTCTTTTAGCTAACCACAATAGTTGAACTCCTGTGAATTTATGTTATGATACACACTGGCATTTCTCTGTATTGGTTTTGCTAGTGTAGCAAATGGGGAAACTGTTTGTATAAAGGCGTAATGTAGCAGTAGATCTGTTCTGGTTTTGTTCGGAGCTATGACCAACTGTTTTTCAAACTAGTGTACTGTGTGCAGTCTATTCCAGACAGAAATATTTGTTCAGAATTGACTTTCAACAATTTGACAGGCATCAGACAAACCCAGTAATTAGCTCTTGAAGTAAAATGTCTGATGGCATACTGCCTTCTACACAGATCCTTAAAGTTAGGCTGGGAGCCATTTGTTGTCTGCGGTGTCTCAGCATAGAAACTGAAGAGAAATCAAGCTTTGCAGCTTCAGGTAATTTGATCAGATAACTCCTTTCTTCAGCCACATTTAACAGCTTCAGCAGTGTTTGCCACACTTGCCTTTGATACTTGAGACTGCTGAGCACCATGTAGTTGAATTCTGTTTCCAAGGAAATTAAATGTTGAATTGGCCTGGTTTTCTTTTGTAGAACTGTAGAGCCATTAAGGTTGGAAAAGACCACTAGGAACTAGGATCATTTAATCCAACCATCTACCTACCACCAACATTGCTGACTAAAACCATGTCCCTAAATACTACATCTATCCTTTCCATGAACTCCAGGGAAGCTGACTTCACCAACTCCCTGGGCAGCCTGTTCCACTGCCTCACCACTTACTGAGAAGAAATTCTTCCTCATATCCAACCTGACCCTCCCCTGGCACAAGTTGAGGCCGTTCCCTCTAGTCCTGTCACTAGCTAGTTAGTGATCTGTGCTTTGTATAAAACAGGTTCTGACAGTAGCAATTGTTCAAACAGGGCTGAGGCTTATTTAGGGATGTTATTTGGATTGTCAAGAGATGGGATAAATCCTTGTTGCCAAGTTGAGCTTTAAGGCACAGTGGTTTTGAGCGAGGTGTGGCCTGACTCCTATTAAAGACAGTGGAGGTTAATTTTAATATTGGTTCATTGAAAGCACCCTTGGAGTTTCCATTCATTTTATTTCATTAACAGACTTTGGATTTCTTTTGGTTCATCTATATTGCTTCATTTTGGAAACAGATGGCTTACCCTCTCAGACCAACAGTGTACAATTTAATAGTCTTCCAGTTATGCCTATGACAATGCATTGTGCTATGTTTACTCTTAAAATTAACCTATTTTCCAAGACTTTTTTTTAAAATAATGCCTGAAACCCTCTTCTTCCCTGACAGTTTTCTCTTGTAGAAATGATGTGTCATAGGAAGGCTATTCTTGCTTAAGTCTTATACAGCCTTGTCAAAGCAGAACTTCATATTGCAGGGAGAAACAAACAAAAAACATGTCAATATAACTTGCCCTGTGTTTATGATGGGCCTTAGTAGAAGTCTAAATACTTGTTTCTAACTGAACCTATAAGCAAATGTTTGCATGTTCCATTATTTCTGCGTCTCCTAAAGATGATTGCTCTCTCAAAATGCACTTCAAGACTTCACTTATTTAGCTCAAATATTTTTATTTATGTATTTTTACACCTTAAAGAACACTTAAGCATGAACAAAATCTAGAAAAAAACTTACTTAAATGTATGCTTTCATTACTGAAATAGAACATACAGAAAGATTTATACTTCACAGCTCACAGAAGCAACTTTTATGGCACAAATGCCTTTCTTTGTTGCTTACCAATACACGTATTCAGTGGCACAAAGCACAACTGTTGTAAAAAATATTAGTATGCAGATGCTCTGGTGTCTTGTTAATGCATTTAATTAAACACAATAGCTCTTTTGTTTATTTTTCTTTTTCTGTCCTTGAATGGATTTGTATTATGGTATAGAATCCAGGGTGATGGTTGCTGTTTAAAATGTCTTGCAGTTTCAGAAAGTGTCACATATTGGTGGTGCTATTTTATCTTTCATTTGATTAAACAAAATTGGTTGAGTTTTAGTAACTGGTAAGAAATCCAAAAGCATCTTCTCAGGAAAACTAAAATCACAAAGTTGCCAGCAAATATCTTCCTCTTTTCCACTGATGTGGTCTTAAATTAAAATTAGGAGTAGTTAAACAAGTATATTCCTGAGAAACACTTCCAAGTGTTTTAACCAAAAGAAAGTCTAAGTTTCCCTAACGTAGTCTGGGTAGTTTTCAAAGGTGCACATCAGAATTGTACAAAATATTTTCATATGAGAAGCTGTGCAGAACTGCAGCAAACTAACTGGTAACAGCAAATTATCACCTGGTAAGTACTAGGTATATAGTTGTAGAAATCATAATTTCTGTCTTGTGCTGTTACCCTTAAATTTATTTCAGAATTGTTCTCAGTCTGAGAAGAGGTTTCTTCAGTGCCCTGTGGGTGGGGAAAGTGGTATGAAATGACTACATCAAGTCCAAAATTGCTCTGAAGTACTGAAGCCCTGGATACTTAGGAACCATAACAGTATTTGCCAGATTCTGTCCCTCAAATGGCAGCAAAGGCCAAAGCAAAGGGAGATTTAATGAGGTAATGAGAAGACTGTATAAGTAACACATGACTAACTAGAGCTTCTCTCTGAAATTTCAAGCTTCAGTAACTCCAAAAAACTTGGTATTTGTGACATGGGGTGTTTGTGAGAAATGTTTGCTCTGAGGCTTCTTCTCAAGCAGTAACCTACCAACAGGTTTGGTTTGATTTTGTATTCCTGCAAAGGCACGTTAGATGCAGTATGCATCTACATTTTTTAGTCTACAACAGATGAAGGCAAGCAAACAAAAACCTCAGTTTTCTGTCAACATAGAGCATGTGTGAAGGGCTGTGTCTGCTGTAACTGATTTTTTTGCGGATAATTCAGTGCATGCATTAGAACCCAACTGCAGAGAAGGCAGCAGACATTGACACGCATCAAGGAGATCTGTCCTGGAGCCTCTCTTGGACAAATGCTCACCGGGTTCTGATTATCCTTTTTATCATTTCTCACAAATAGTAAATGCAATTGGGACAGCTTTGCTCATGGCCTTCAGCATCAGATAGCTAAGGCATCATATGAAGAAAAGCTGTCCTGGGAGGCAAAGCGGAGGTTGCTGTTGAGTATTCTTGTTTGAAGAGATGATAATTTAAGAAGTAAGGAAATCTCTCACATCTCATTTTGCTTTTGTTCATGAATTTAGTGGAATTGCTTCATTGTTACAGGAGTCAAAGTGAGAAATTCAAAGCGGGGACAGAACCATCAGGTGGAGAAGTTCTGATAGCACAGAGGGGGAGCATGCACTGAGAAATGCTCAGTCCTGCTACTTTCCCCTGTTTAGGATACAAAAAGCATACTTTAGAGTTCCAGTCTTCAATGGAAAGTACTGGAAATCTGACTGTCCAGACATTATAGCTGAAAGACTAAGCCTTCCACATAAACAAAATTAATTTATCTCAGTTATGCTTCTAACAAAATATTAATCTATTTACAAATATTTCTAATTAAAAAAAGAAAAAAAAAAAAAAAGCACCTAGAGCTCCTGCACATTTTATGTGAGGACATCACTGCAGTTTCAGTTCCAAGATAGCTTAATGTTCTTGCAGGCTGCTAGAGAACATAGTTGCAACTGCACATATTACGGGTTTTGTATTAAACGGCCATCTCAAGGCAGTGGAAAGAAAGCAGCATTGTTCCCGGGCTGTTTTTCACAGGCCTGTATTCATATCTCATCCTTGTTGTTTGCAGGAGAGGCAGATGTGAACCAGAACAATGGGACCTCCACGAAGAGCCCAGCGGTGACAGACTCCAAAGGCACAGCGGACCCGAAGAATGCCTGGCCCCAGTCCCACCCAGCTGACACGGCCGGTCGCCCCCACTTGATCCGCCTCTTTTCCCGAGATGCCCCAGGGAGAGAAGACAACACCTTCAAAGATCGGCCCTCAGAGTCAGACGAGCTACAGACCATCCAAGAGGACAGTGCAGCAGCTTCAGAGAATTCGGATTTGATGGCTTCACAAAAACGCTCCTCTTTCCGGCACGGATCAAAAATGGCATCGGCAAGCACTACAGACCATGCTCGACATGGATCTCCAAGGCACAGAGACTCGGGTCTACTTGACTCGCTGGGCAGATTCTTTGGAGGTGACAGACACGTTCCCCGGCGGGGCTTCGGCAAGGTGAGCTCTGAGGAATAAAGAACTGCACAGCTACAGGAAAAAAAAAAAAAAAAAAAGTACAAAAAAAGAAAAGAGGAAGGGTGGGACTGAAAAGAATAACCACGATAATGCAACAGTTGACTTAGCCAGCAAGACAGTACTTGCAGTTGTGTAACTTAATGCTTGGCTTTGATCTGAAAATAACAACAAAAAAAAAAACCCATAGATCTGAGAAACACAAGGAGCTATTTCTGGGTTGTGACAAGGAGTATTAGAAATGCAGGTGGCTTTAGAAACATTACCAAGTGGAATTTCTATGAGCATTTTATACGGTGCGCTATGTGCATTTGTATGCTGTGCTGTTTAGAGAGAGACATGAGCCTGCTTTTGTGTTGTTTTTAAATATTTGCAAAACTGAGCTGGATGAAAGCACTAAATGCAAGATGATGGCTAGATAGTTGGGCAGTAATGTGGGACAGACTTGGAAATATATGATGGAAAAAGAACAGTGGCCAGATTCTCAGCCTGCTTGCATAAGAGCATATTTTAAAGTCAGTTGATGGCATTGCTGAGGGGACAGGCTGACAGGTGTGCAAAAAAAGTCCAGCTAAGACTTATATTTTAAGCACTTAATATCTTAATATCAGAAATTGTGTAACAAAATCATTTATGCATTCTGACTTAAAAATCAAGGTATAGATGAAAGGATACTGTACTGTTTCCTCTCCTAGGATTCATCAGCATCCTTTGATAAGTATGATAGATACTGTATGTTGTTCACTATTCCTGGAGAGCCAAAACTCATGTTATCAATCACGTAGCAAGGGGTACAATGGAAATAAGCATTCTTGTGTTTGTGTGTTTACACACTACAAAACCATTTGAACTGCTCCTAAAACCCTCATTTTAGCTAAATGTATTCTTTGATACAGTTGCTCAAATTGTATATGTTACAAACAGCAGTGCTCCTACTTGCCAGCTACTTTTGAGAACCTGTGCTATCTGCTCCCCCATGGTGCTTGCTAGGATGGATCGCTACATACAGCTTTCCCAAACCAGTTGTAATTATGCCATTACATTAGTGTTTTAATGGGGATCTGTGATTGTGTGACACCTGCAGGCTGTCAGTGCACTGCTCAGCTCTGGACTTGGAAGCACAGCTTGTACTTGTGCTTCCCTAAAGAGCTGGTGCACCGTGTAGACCACTGGATGAAAAATGCTGTACAACCTCAGGATCACAGCTACAGCAGCTTCTCAACTTGGGCACTAGGACTAAGCAAGCTGGGTATTCTGGTCTTCTTGTTTCTCATAGTAACAAATTGGGGTCAATCATGTTTATGACGATAATGCTTACGACAAAGATTCATCTACTAAAGATGGAGATGTTCATATGACTGTCACTAGAACATTCAACAAGCAGTTGCTGTGATTAATTCTCACTTTTCTAAACTGCAAATATCACAAATTGTTCCCAACAATGCTATGTTCTGCAACCTCACTGGCTAGGCTCAACTCTTGCTCTTTTATCCATATACTGTATTACTCAACGGCAAATCATATATGAAATGTTCTTAATGCCAAGAAAACATTACCAAAAACTTAGGCTATTACAAAGGTGTGCGTACGCCTTTGCTTAGCAATAAAACAAACCAACCACCCCACTTTTTAGTAGCGATGACTAAATCATGGCTGCAAGTTGTACGGAGTTGTGTATTGTATCCTTTCATGTAAACATGATTGCTATGCTTCTGTGCAGCTCCCTACATAATCCATCATGTGAGAGGACAGAGTGCCATCTGTCTTATCTCTGTTGCCGTTCAGTTAAGTTAATTTGAGGCACTTAACATCTGCACAACTAGTCCAGAATTATGAATGGTTAACACTTTTTTGCTTGGTAGAAGTAATTTCTTTAAAAAAGAAAAGACTACATTTAATGTTGGAGTCCTGGCTTACATATTTCAGCTGGAAGCACAGAGAGGCTTTGTCATCTTGGCAAAAGCCAGTCACACCAGCACTGACTTCAGTGCCAAAGCATCTCTGTCCCCATTTATCACAATGATAATATTGATACATGAAAACATATCTTGGGAAACTATTCCATAGGAGAGTTTCAGTGCTGAAGATGTTGAACAAGTGCCACAAACAGTTTTTGGTTTTTTTTTTTTTTTAACTATTATTTATTTAGGCTTTGAATCAATGCCTTTTGGTTTCTTGTATCAAGGAAGGCTTGTGGTGTCATTTATTTATACGTATGTATACAGAGGACATTGAGATGGCTAAATAATTTTATTTGTACTTAAAACCTAAATAGCTGCAATTTGCTGAGTTTTGTAGAGTGTCAGAGTAGTGATACACACCAGAGGTGTTCAAGGAAGAGCTGAACAAGAATGATGTCTTCTGGCAGTTTTCCAAACTCTGCTAAGGAAACAGGGCCTTGCTAAATAAGATACTACCCCAAAAAGCACCTTAAAATAGAGGAGTTCCTGGGACTGTACTGTTTATTTGCTTGCAGTCAAGTTTTGAAGCTTTTTAAAAACAGTTCTGCATCTGCCTTCCTCGTGCCCATCCTTTCTCAAGTGAGCTGTGCCCAGTGGGGGAGCATGCATCTCAACTGCCCACACCAGCAAGCACTGGAATGCAAAGACAATACTTGCTCTTTGTACAAATTTAGGGCTGACATTCAAGCAAAACACAGTATAAATTCTTTGTGGAGGCATTTTCATCTTTCAGCCATAGCTGTAAAGCACATAAATGAATAATATTCACTATTGTGTAAAGAAAGGTGGGGTAGGAACAAAGAAGCAACTGTTGTGTGGCCTCCTTTTCTCCCTTGGAGCAGATTTCTCCCTTATCATGGAATTCTGAAGTTAAATTAAGAGCCTGTAGGCGTCCCAGGGGAGTAAATAAAAACAGAAGTACTGGAATGTACAGAAATACTTTCTCCTCTACAGGGCAGCAGTGCATTTGCCATTGTTTTCTCCACCTCAGCCCCATCGAGATTTTGATAAGAATCATCAACCAAAAGCACAGCTTGAATTTTGAGCTTACAGAACTTGATTAAGGTAGAAAATTCCAAGCACAGTTACTGTTACCCCCAGCTTAATTTTAGTCGTATTACAGAAGATGTTAAAAGGGTGACAGAACAAACCTGCAGTGCAGACATTTCCAGAAGCACACAACACAGCAGTGTAACTATAAATTATGTTCGTTCTAATCTTTATGGAATATTTATCTAAACATCTGTGAAGTATATGGGCAATTTTATGTTACAGTGATCAAACCTCACTCTGTCTCTTAGGTCTTAACATGTATTCAGCTTCAGTATGTGCTGAGTGCTCTTTTGTTTCTTTATGGGAACACCTGTGACTAAATCAGTTGGTTATGCTTCTGTAATTCTTTTCTTTATGATTTTTTTTGTTGTTGTTATGCTAGGGTTGGACTGTGAAACAAAAACTTCGGTCCCAGTTTAACATTATGTATTAACATACTAAACTTTAAATTACATTTGTGACAAAACGCAGTGGAGCAAAAAATGGTGAATGGCAGTGAATGAGAGGCTTGGTGAGAGAAAAATGGATTGAGTCATCTTCTGTATTTTACTTCAGTTTTCTGTGTAACCGTGTGAAGTTCTCCTGTGGCCTGTATGAAGCCTTGCACCTGCATTTCCTACCCACTCTGTGTGTTTGGGTGCAAAGGGTATGGAAGGTGGACACAGATTTCCTACCCTAGGGCTAGGAGGTAGCTGAGTTCTGTGCTCCTCAAAGTGAGCAGAAGCAGGGATGATTGTAATGGGGAGCTGAAGAAAAACTTGCAGTTAAAGATGCATATGCATAAGGTCTCAAAGAACGACAGGGGCCTACATGATTGTCAGAGCACCCATTGATCATTTTCTCTTAGCACGTTGAACTCAATCTAATCTTTTGCTAAGCTTTGATGTATCCTATGTCACTGAGAGAAAGGTAGTTACAGCAGTGCTAGTTTGCCTGTCAATACTGTGATCTTTTACTTCCAAGTCTTGGTTTTCAGGGAGTGGCATTGCTCACCAGATTCTGGCTTTGTAAACCTGCCGCGCAAGCAACGTGTGTGTAAATATTTTGGATATAGCTTATGGTGATTGACTGTAACAGTTTGGTTTTAATCTTTTGCTTTCTATGTGCTTTGTTTATATACTCATTAAACTGTTTATATGACAAAACTGGCGTACTAATGATTTAATTTCTTTTAAATACTTTTAATATATTAACAGAAACACAGCAAGCAAACCACTTCACAGCACGAGAGGGCAGACAAAGTAATTAAAAGTAACTAAATTTGTGGGAAGTGTATTTGACAAAGAAATAAAGCTTACCTTTTAGATAGGAGATGATGAAGATGATAGGCTGCACATCCGCATGGGGTGAACTGAATCTAGCTTCTCGTTTTCACAGCACTTAGTAAGGGGTGATGCAGCACCTAACAGTGAATTAGTGTCAGAATTTCCAGTTTCACTGACGTTCATTCAGTCTGTTAGGCTTCTGAGCACTTTAGACTTGTCTGCTTAAAAAAAAAAACAAAAACAAGTAACCTGCACAAAAGAAGCAAATATTAACAGGTAAGTGCTGCATATCACCTGACAAGTGGAAGGCTCGGGAGCCAACGTCGCACAAGACGCGGTTTAACATCTTCATTTAACACACATAACCCATAGCTGTTATACATGCTTAACATTTAACACATGATTTCATGCACCGGAGCCAATTATCTCTTGCATCTTGAAACCTTCATTCCTGTGAATTTGGAAATCAAATTAGCTCAGATGCGATACTTAGAAGAGTGAGCAGTAATTCTTGGTAAAATGTTGGTTTTGTATCATGTCCTGAATGCAGGAATGGGGCAAAACGCAGTCAGAAATGAGACAAAGCAGCAGCCAAAGATTTCAATGAGAATTTGAAGGGGAAATCACCATTGGATGGGCAGGAAAAGTCTATGCACTTAACTGCTTTTAGAATATTTTATCCACTCAAATACCAGTAAATCAACCA